AAGGAGGATGAATTGCTGCTTTACGATCCCGCCTGGGGGACAGAAAAGCAATCGAGGCCGGCAGGACGACATCTGAAGGGTGAAGTGCCGACCAAGCCCGTCGTTTTGGAAGCTTTTCTGGGGAGAATCTTGCGGCCACACCAACGCGAGGGCGTCGCTTTTCTTTGGCGGTGCTTGACGGGCAGGGGGCAGCCTAGCCGGATGGGCCGCGGGGCAATTTTGGCGGATGACATGGTGAGGTGCTCGGGCGGAAACGGTGATTGAGAGAAAGATCGAGGCTTACGTAGAAGGACGAAGAGAGTCAGACAGACCACGAAATGACAATATGATATGGAGCTCGCATAGTATCTCACCAGCTTCCCCTCTGATCTCTCTCCCTTCCTCAGGGCTTGGGCAAGACGCTACAAACCATCGCCCTCCTATGGGCCCTGACCAGACAGTCCCCTTTCCAGCACCGGTACGCCGACGTGGAAAAAGCCGTGGTCGTCTGTCCGTCCTCTCTCTTGAACCAGTGGGCCGCTGAACTCAAGAAGTGGCTACAGGTCCGGCTCTCCTTCATGGTCGTCGACTCCGCCATGGGGAAAGCACTCGGGAAAGGGGATGCCAAGGAGCAGGTCAACACCTTCTGTACTTCCTCGGGGCAGCATTCCACCGTCCTTTTTATCTCCTACGAGGGGTACCGCATCCACGCGGCGGCTTTGAACGCTTGCCAACAGATCGGTCTCTTGATCTGCGACGAGGCACATCGGCTCAAGGAGGGGGCCAGCAAAACTCTGGTCGCCTTGGCCGCCTCCCCGGCACAAGCGAGATTGGCCCTGACGGGTACTCCTGTTCAAAACGACTTGGAGGTGAGGGAGCAGGGAGAGGAAGGGAGGGAGGGAGGGCTGGTAAGTTCCTGTGGAGGGCTTCTCAAAAACCAATAGCCTCTCCATAGCACACTATCTTTCAAGACTTACCTGGTGCTGTGACCATGAATCCCTTCTTGCCGCCGCTCCTTACTTCTGACCCGCTTTCGCCCACACTTCCCTCTCAAGGAATTTTACTCGCTGGTTGATTTCGTCAATCCCGGCGTCCTTGGCCCTCTATCCAGCTTCCGATCCAACTATATCTCTCCTATCCTTCGCGCCCGCGATCCCAAAGCCTCTTCTGTGACAAAGCAATGCGGCGAGCAACGTACTCGTGAGGTCATGGCCCTGGTCTCTCGCTTCTTTCTCCGACGCACCGCCGCTGCTGTCCTCAAGACCCTTATTCCTCCCAAGACGAGCCTCGTCGTTTTCTGCCGACTGGCCCCGGTGCAGCGAAAACTCTATCAGGAGGTGGTGAGGATTGGGCTCATGCCGGGTGTCATGGGACACGAACCGGCAGTGGCCTCTGCCTTGGGCTTGAAGATGATTGATGCACTGCGCAAAATATGCAACCATCCATGTTTTTTTTCAACGGAAGTGTCCCCTGAAAGAAGTGAGGACATCGGGCGCGAAGGGGAAGGAAGAGGAGGTTTAAGCGAATCGGCAATAATTAAAATTTTGCGGACGACGAGGTCTAATTCTGCGGCGGATTTAGATGAGGACAAGAAAGGCGGCAGCAAGTCGGGAAAGATGGGCGGGGGAAAGAAGTCTGCGGGGGGGCAAACGAGAACGAGCTTGCGTTGTCCGATTGGCATGTCAGGAAAATTGGCGGTGACAGAGGAGCTCCTGGAAGCTATTTACGCGCAAACAGCTGACCGCGTGGTGGTCTGCTCTTCCTACACACTTTCCTTGGACATGCTTCAGGACCTATGCCAGGCGCGAGGATGGCACGTCCTCCGCCTGGACGGCTCAGTCTCAATCTCTCAGCGACATGGGCTTGTGGAAGCTTTCAATAGGGGCGCCGGTTGCCCGGCGCGGGAGAAGGAGGATCCATTCGTGTTTCTACGTACGTGTCACTGGGTGGGAGGGGCAAGACGGCTACGGACTTGAAGAGAGAAGAGGAAGAGGAAAACGACGCGATTAAGGGCGTGCCACAGCCCACCACATTTCCATGTGGTCGCTGGCCTTCGGGTTAGGTTTGGGGTCTCGTTTACTAATTTTCTCCTTATTCGCATATTTTCCCCCCGTCATCAAGTGAGCACGCGCGCTGGTGGCCAGGGGCTGAACCTAGGTGAGTTTGTACCCTTTTAACGTGCATGATTATTTTTCATTGAACGGATTAAGCTCCAGCGTGTCGAAACGATAAAGCTCTTTAGAAGGGAGCTAAAAATGAATGTAGCGCTTAATTACAACACTTCAAATGCCCGCTTAACTTAACTCGAGGGACTTTGGACAGAGCATAATCCATATACATCCCTTCTGCTCCATAATCCAGTTGGCGGCAATCGTCTCATCCTCTTCGACTCTTGCTTCAACCCCTCCGCGGATCTGCAAGCGCAAGCACGAGTCTGGCGCGACGGTCAGAGGAAACCTTGCGTGCTTTACCGTCTCCTGAGTGCGGGTACCATGGAGGAGAAAGTCTTTCAACGCCAAATTTCCAAACGGGAACTGCATTCCACGCTAGTCGAGAACACGGCGCACGAGACTCGGAATTTCTCGCCGGACGAACTGAGAAAATTGTTTGTCTTGGCGGGACCCCATGTCCGGTGCGAGACCTACGATTTGCTTCGAAGTGGTGGAGGACGGGCGGAAGGAAAGCGAGAATGGAAGGATTACACAGGCCCCAAGGACATCCCGGACGCATGTTTGCGGTCGGTGGTGGAGGCGCAAGGGACGGGAGGGAGCATGGTGAATTTCGTACACGAGGAGGAAGACGGGAGAGGAGAGGAGGAGGACAAGGAAAAAAAGCGTGGAGATGACGAGGGCGACGGGGACATGGGGCTCGATTCTAGGCTCGTGCATGAAGAAGATGCTGTGGAGGACGAGGAAGTGAGCGGGTTCGGAGGCTCTGTCGCTGTAGCAGGGAGTGATGAGGCTGCCATACGCAAGCGAAAGAGGATCGTGGTATCGTGTGAGACGGAAAGTGATGATGAGTTTGAGAGTATCGACGGGAGAAGCGGTGAGAAGGATAGTGGAAGAGGAGCTGCTATGGGACCGACAAGCGAAGGTGGCAGCAGAGATGCGGAGGAGGGATATGACATGGAGGAGGAAGAAGAGTGGGAGACACTTATGAACTCGTAGCCCGAACACATTACCCAGAAGTTTAAAGCAAACAAAATGAGGATCATACCGACCAACAAGGAAGCACATGCACCTGAAAAGCTTTTCTTGCACCATTTTTCAGTAAAATAGATATAAACTTGCGGGTATGACGTAAACGTCTTTTTTGTTATCTTCTCCGCTATGTAAGAATGTAATGCTCTCACGCCTGAGAAGCAATTTATGAGACGAGGAACCTGTGCCTACTCACAAGCCATTTTATATTTGACGAGCGTACCAGGAACATTACAGAGTGCTTGATGTTCTCATTTCTCGCACAGACCTCCGGCTACCTTGAAGTGGTTGCATAAGATATAAAAGTCTCACGGCAATTTGCACACATGTACCCGATTTTGGGAATCTAAAACATGGAGACGTAATGCAGGAACAAAATTACTCTTTCTTGATAACCCACCTTGTGGCTCTCGGAGTGTGAGAACATCCATCACGCGTATTCTTTTGACACGTGCCTACCTCAATGATTCCCAGCCTACAATCTTTACAGTGCGAAGCTTCGAATGAAACCTCAGTTTCTACCTCCCGTAATTGTAGTTGATTATTTTTACTCACTGGCTTCAAGACTGGCGTCTCGCTGACATTCGATGCCTCCCTTTCCCGCGATTCGACCGGTCTCGCCCAAGACTGATGCCATCGACGAAAACCCAAAACGCACTTACAGAGCGCTCGGACAGAGTCAGCCTCCTTCTTATCATCCATTATTCCTTCTTTATGGGAAGTACATTAGGCACAGGATCCTTGGCAAATTTTGATTTTCTTGCCGCTCTCGAATTCTCAGCCATCCACGAGCTTTCGTCGTCCTCCCTTGCTTTAGTGACAACACGTTTGTGTAGAGCGGGGCGCGGTCTTTGTCGACGGATGAACCTACACATCAACAGACGCAGCTATGCAGATACACGGATGTATCGTCTTCACATTCTTCTACAATTAACGTTGCTTGTGGTAGTCACGGCGGCGTTTACCAGCTTGTCCGGAGGATCGCTTTCGACTTGCAGGCGCGGTCCAAGCACCGGCTGTAGCACACCTCGCACCCTAGATGTTGAAAGGGGCGGCATCCGCCGCGTTGGAGTCACCAGTGGTCGGATAAGCGGTCATTCGCTAGCATTACAGCGGAAGTACCTTTGTTCGACCATGCCACTCACTCCTTTATCTGCATCGAGCGGGGGAACAAGCGAGCCTTCCCACAACATGCATCAAGCCCCAAGCGCTGTCACGCCGGTCCCTGCTGCCGTGCACGCTGCCCACAGCCACATCGGCGAAGAAGGAGGTCATCAGGGTGGTATACTGCGATCACTGAAAGAGAACTGGGCGAGGTTGACCCGAGTCCAAGAATACGATGGACAAATTTGGGAGTTGGCCTTGCCCACGCTGGGTGCCGTGTTGATCGACCCTTGTCTGTCTCTAGTGGACACCATGTTTGTGGGAAAACTCGGCCACGTAGCCCTGGCATCGATGGGTCCATGCACGGCTCTCTACAACATGATCTTCGCCACAGCTTCTTGGTAAGTAATAATTGTTCCACGCCCTGCCTCAACATAGCATCTTGTACTCCGGCGCGCGTCGCCTTCCCCCCTTTTTTGATTTCCTTTCCCTTTTTCTATGACACTGGAATTTCGGTTGTTCTTTCCAAATGCACAAGAGCGCGAAGTTGACTTTTGAAAGCCGTGTACAGTAACTATAACCTCTTTTACACTCGTAACACCCGTTTCAAGCATGTTTTCCGTGTCCACCGCCGTGCTGATCGCCCGCTACAAAGCCCTTGGCGACGGACAGGCGACGGGCCGGACTCTCTTTACGGCCATCACCTCCTCTGTCGCGTTGGGAATTTTTTTCACCGTCCTGATGGCGTCCCGACCGTCGCAAGCCCTCCGCTTGATGGGGGCGAGCTCACCAGAGATGATTCGGCTCGGAGCCCCTTATCTTCTTTGGCGTGCGACGGCTCTACCGGCCAATATGTTCCTCCTGGTGGCAGGCGGCGCATTCCGCGGTATCGGAAACGCGAGGGAAAACTTTACGAATGGACTCGTGGTGGGGCTAGTCAACTTGGTCCTCGACCCGGTTTTGATGTTTTCGTGCAATCTGGGGGTGGCAGGCGCCGCGATGGCTACCGCGATTGCCCAGTGGATCGGTGCTTTGTCGTACATCTTCAAGATGACCCGAAGAAAAGAAGCGTTTGGGTTGAACCTAGGGTGGAAAATCATCCCGGGGATGGCAGACGTGCAAGAGTTCCTGACCGCGGGGACGGCCATGCTCTTCCGCTCCCTGTGCAATGTGGGGGCCTGGACCCTTATGGCATCGATAGCGACCCGGATGGGAGTGGTGGAGATTGCGGCGCATCAGTTGATCCTCAGCATGTGGCTGGTTATAGCCTTCGTACAAGACGCGGTCGGGGCCGCGGGCCAGGTCTTGGTCTCCCAGCAGCTTGGTAATCCGGGCAGCAGTCGGCATGCCATCCGGAGGGGAAAAGCCCGGGCCCGCGCCATCGCGAAGAGGGTCATCAGTTTTTCCGCGATCATCGGCGTGGCCCTGTCTTTGATAGGTCAGATCGTCCTCCCCTCCCTAATCCCTCTCTTCTGCTCATCCCCTGAGGTAATCGCACTGACCAGTAGCGTCTTGCCTATCGTCCTTCTCGGCTTCCCCGTGTGTTGCGTGGTATGGACGTGGGATAGTGTTTACTATGGGGCAAGCGATTTCAAGTATAATGCTAAGGTGATTGCTGTCTCGTCCTCCATTGCTGTATCGTTAACGTTGGCGTCCTTGCACTACGAGTGGGGGTTGCTAGGGTTGTGGTCGTCGATGGTTTTTGTTTATTTTGGCTTACGTGTTGTCGCGCACTATAGGAGATTTAATTCAGAACACGGTCCCTTCGGAAAGAGCACTTTGTCGTTGAATGAAAGGGATGATGGCGCAGGCCAGACGTTGATGAGTGATGCGGTACCACAGATAAGCTGAAGAGTGGATGAAGAAGCACAAGGGTGAGACTGAAGAAGGCGAGGGTTGCGGTATGCTAAATATTAGACGACCTGGAATACGGACAATTAGACGTGGACCGGGAGGAAAGTTGTATGGATTCGCAGTGGGCACAAGTTGGATGAGATGTGATATAACGTCGACGCACCCCGTGACGCTTTAATTTCCAAATTGCCTCCTTGTGGCGACAAAATCCATATGAGGACAAGTGGAACAGCCAAAGCGATCACGTCTGATCGAAGCCGAGATAATTGGCTTTTCCTAATCAAATCACATGGCAGCTTCCAGTGCGCGCTACACCGGGCACTCCGCTTTTCTCTGCAAGAGCACACGCCTTCATCTGATAAGCCAAAGTGTACAAGAATGGGAGGTCTCAGATGAACCCTTCAATCATAGTAGAAGATGAGAGCAAGGAGGCCGAGTCTCCTCAGCAAAGGGTGATGAAAAAGATGGCTAGCAACCGCATAATCAAAATTCAAAGGCATTCTCCAGCATGCTTCGGATGAAAGCGGGTTCTTCTTCTGTTTGCTTTTCTTCCTGGCTTACTCATCCCACATCTCTTGCTGGCTGTTATCCCACATCTTCTACTTCATGCTGGCAAAAAATGATTTCCAGGGCGTATTACTTTCATTCGCCGGGTACGGATTGCGTGTCAAAACTCTGACTCCTTGTCTTAGGCTGCCTTTTTCACTTCAATTGTCATTAGCCCTGTACAGTCCTTATTATTTGACGGCTGACTTTCTAAAGATACATCCACATTAAACGCACACGTGCTGGTGTCCTGAACTACTTCATGTTCCCGTACATTGACATCAACTTTCTCAACACACACCCTCATGACATGACGACCTCCCATGGCTTATTCCCAACTCGCTTTAGACAACACACGACGCATACCTGTACTCACAATTACATCGACACGCACATTTTTCGTGAACCATTTGAGGTCCCCTCGAAGGAAAACGGCACTTTCCGTGCAAACAGGTTTAAGACATCTCGTACACAAAGAAACATTTTGATCTAACAAGGACATCTGTCTAGCTCACTCTCAAATTCCACATATGATCATTTTGACACGTGCATGCATTGGTCGCACGTGTCTCAGGGTAGGAAAGAAGGCTCGCGTCCATCTTTGCCTAGCTTCCCCTCGCTTTGTCCGCCGTGGTTACGCTTTCCAGGGCGCAAAGGGAACGATGACGCTGTGGCTTCCTCACCTCCAATGCGATCGTTTCCATTTTCCATTGCAACTTCTTGTGCAATAAATGGATGCTGTAGCAGCTCTTCCGCCGTAGCCCGCTGCTTTTCGTCGATGGCTAGGCACCGTGTTAGAAAGTCCTTACCTACATTGCTCATGCTGCTCGGAAGAGATGGCGGCTGCGTTGAAGTCGCGACGTGGAAAAGGGCTGCGAGCTGGTTGGAAAATTCCGGCCATGGATGGGCAGCCGTGGCCATCTCGATGATAGTCGCTCCCAATGACCAGACATCTGCGGCTTTGGGTAAACGGCCTGATTGTTTGATCACCTCTGGAGCCATCCAGGGAACCGAGCCCGTGATGTTCTTCAAGGAGTTCTCCAACGATACCGAGGCGGCCGTTTGAAGGTCTTGCAGTTGTCGAGAGCAGCCGAAGTCTGCCAGTTTTGCGATGCCATTATTGGTCACTAGTACGTTGGCCCCTTTTACATCGCGGTGGATAATACCCATCGAGTGCAGGTATGCGATCCCGGACACAATCTGAGCCACGAGGCGTCGAGTTAGGGCTTCTCCAAAAGCGCCGTACTGCCCCAACATCGACGCAATACTCCCACCAGGCACATATTCCATGAAGATAAAGAGGGCGTGCGTGTCGCGGGCTGTACCTAAATATTGGACGATATGCTTGTGTCGCAGTCGTTTCATAAGAAGGATCTCCCTCTCGAGCCGCGCCACTTCCGCCCGGGACCCATCCACGAGCCCAATCTGCTTAACCGCAAAGCGTTCGCCAGTGCTGGCATTCAGGCCTACGAAGACATTACCAAATGTTCCCTTGCCTATCTGTGCGCCTTTTCGCCAGTCGATCCGCTCGCTGGCCGGTGCGTCCTTCCATTCTTTATCCCCAGACAACCCTTTCTCCGTGGCATCCATGGAAGTCGTGGCGACCAGCATGCGCTGCCTATGATGCTGCAGGCGCACTTTTCGCTGCTGCTCGTTGTCGATGTATTTGTCTTGGTTGTTTTGTACTGTGGCATGATCCACAGCCTCCTCCAAATCTTCCCAATCCCCTCTTGCCACATCTTCAGACGCATTGTTGTGCAATCTCTTCCGGAAGCTTGCATTCGTTTCAGTCCGATTTTTAACCAGACCCCTTGGCCTATCGTTGATCTCTTTGTCCATCATTTCTACCCGAGGACGATCCTCCTTATCCTCCTTGTACGGTGCCAGCCTGGTCGGATCTCTGCACCGCTCCATTCCCCGCCAAGTCGCCTCGTTCATCGAGGCTTGCTCACCCATGATACCCCGCATTGAGCGTATGGTCGCACTATTGCCATCTCCCACATTGCCTCCTTCCTTATCTGGCTCTTCTTCTTCAGACGCTTCTCCAACCAGGGACACATTCATGGCATCTTCTCCACCGTGACTCCTCTTCACTTCGACGCCAAGCGCGTGCGGGGACGACGTGAGCTCATTATGGGCCCCTCCGAGCGGATCCACGGGGTCGTGACTGCTGCGTTCTCCCGAGTTGTGTTCGATACCGCCATGCTCCTCCCCTCTCTCCCCATCTAGGCTTGCTTGAAGAGATGCGGCCCTTCGCCTGCTGGCAGGCGAAGCGTCACTAGCGCAGTTGGCTTTCCAGAGACCAAACTCGTACGACACAGGCGAGACCCTACCAGCCGAGTCGCTCCTATCCTTGCGAAGAATTTTGCCACTGTCGTTACTGCCCCAACCCGTGCTATCCGCTCCAACGGGCATGCCGGTCTTCCGACCAAAAGACACTGCCTCCTCCAAACGCTGCGTTAAGACTCGATCATTGTGCCGCCTGGCGGCATCTTTCGTTCCGTCGTCTTCCTCTTTTTCTATCTCTGTCTCCTCTCGCTGCTCTACCGCGCCGTGGCTTTTTAATTCTTTCCAGGCTTTCCACGTGACGGCATGGCCTTTAGAGCTGCCTCCCGCCTTCGAATAGTGGTATGCCCCGCCCGTATGCTCTGGGCCATTGATACTCGTATTGCTTGACGACACATCCGTCGAATCGACCCATCCGCTTACATTACCGCCAAAATTGACCCCTCTCAGGCCTGGGGAGTGTGCGGCGGCAAGAGGGACAACATCTTCTTTTCCAATTTCATTCAATGAACCCCGGCTGCGACCGCGAAAGCCGCCGTGACTTCCGGGCATGTTCGCCCCCTGCCCGGTCTTGAGCGGTTTCATGGATAGCAGAGACGGCGAGGAAAAGGACGACATGGAGGAGTGCATTGAGTTCGACCGACGCCGGGCGTACAACGCTGACATGCCGCCGCTGCCGCTGCTGTTGGCAGAGCCTGCGCCCATCCATCCACTGTCGTCCACCTCGCCGTTGGCAATCTTTGCCCCCATAAGTGGTTCGCTGCCTTCGTCTCCACTCGCAGTGGGCCCTTGACTGTGCAAGCTCCCGCTACTGTGCTGATGAGACATGTACGACAAGGGTAGGAGACCGGCCTGCACAAGATGCTGTTGTTGCTGTTGCGCGAGCTGAAATGGGTGGTGAAGCTGCGCCACTGCCTTTTCTCGGGCCTGAACCATCGGGGAACGAATTCCCATGGCGTGTTGAGACGTCGAGGACGCAGGGAGGGACGAGGGAATGGGGGGCGGGGCAGGCCTGGAGGGAGAGGGATGGGTGGTCATGCCCGTCCCTGGGCCTGTCTCCGGGTATCCGTAAGGATTTTTGGTGCACGAGGTTGCTTCCCCGGCGGACGGAAGCTGCGACGACGGCGACAGAAAATTTGTCCGTGGGGAGGGATTCGTAACGTTCAAGACTGCTCCAGGGGACGGGAATCCTCCTTCCTTCCCCACGCCACCCACAACACTGCCGTTGATGCTGCTGACACAACTGCTGGCACTGCTGCTGGTGCTGTTCACGCTCCCTTCCTGGTCAGAATGCGAGGGACTGAGGTTGCTGGGACCGCATTGCGGGAGGTAGAACGAGTGCCGAAGGGCGGTAGCAAGCCTAGAGGTAGACTCTTCTCCCTCGGGGAAAAAAGCTCTGCTGCCCAAGGCACCGGGGGCGATCGAGGCCGACTCGCTCCCTACCTCCCCCCGCCCTGCTTTGGTTGCCCCCTTTTCCAACCAATCCCCGCCGCCACAACCTGCCGGGCCCGAGGGAGATGAAGAGAATGGCTTAGGGGTAAACTGGGCCCCGCGCTTCGTCGGGCTAGTCCCTCCCGCCCCGCCTCCTGAAACCGAGGCGAATCTAGCAGGCCCCATGTGATGGTCTTGGTTCACGGTATTGGTTCCAAGCATGTTGCCAGTGCTGTTGTTCCCCGCGCCAAGCACTCTCACCCGTGCGATCTGTTCACTCCGCGACTCTCCCCCGTAGCTCAGGGACCGGTAGAGAGGGGGGGGGGTCCGCAGCCAGAACGAGGTGTTCACTCCTGTGGACGAAGGGCTGCGAAACTGCAAGGCGGAGGGAGGAGAAGAGGCATGCAGACGCGTGCCTGTGTGCGGCAAGTGTTGCGGCGGGGCGGGCTGTGACAGGAAGGAGGAGGGGGAGAAAGCGGCCGCAGTGGTGGCCGCGGAGGAAATGGAGGAGGAGGCGGCGAATCCGCCAGCGCGACCCAGTCCACTGGGAGGCAGCGCATTGCTCAGGCCCGTCCCAGACCGCTCTCCGTCCTCTCCTTCCCCCCTTCCTACCGAAGCCCCCGGCTTCTCCTGGCCCCCAGCCTGGGACGTCGAGAGCAACCTCAGCCGCGTCTTGTTGGCAGCAGCCACGTTGGCCCCGCCCCCACCAGTCTTCGTTTTTAGGAAAGGCGGGGACGACGTGCCGCTCCCGCCAGCTTTGTCGGTGGAGGAATCGTCCGCGCCCAGAGACAACTCAGCGATACGTTGCGCAGGGGTCAGGTGGGCCTGGTAGGGCTGGTATGCGGCCGACGATGGTGGCTGGTGCGGGCAAGGCTGGAGAGTCTGCTGCTCGTTGGAGAGAGCCCGGGCGGAAGCAGACGCGGGCAGGCCCGGATGTGGCGCGCTCGTGGACGCGCTGGCATTGCGTCGCTCGAAGCCAAGGGGCAGAGAATGTTGACGGGTGAGAAACGGGGCGGGGCTGGAGGGAAATCCACCGAACAGTGGGAGCGATGGCGAGTGAGGCCCGGCTTTCGATGGACTTCGCAGGGTACAAGAGGCTGTGGAGGACGAGCATGCTCCGTTGCTGGGTGCCGGACTGGACACTGGACGGGGGGGGTTCGCGGAAGATGCGTCGGCCTTGTGCTGGGGTGGTGGGACAGGATCATAGATCGGCATGAGAGGAGCGGACTTGATACCGAAGAAGACGCACCATTTACCAAAAATGAAAAACACAGTCGGATCCACTCAAGGTGTACCAGGTCATACAGCGCGTTAGATGTCGGGAGAACCCCCAGCGGAATATTCCAAGATTTAGTTTAGAAACGCAGTCGCCGTCGGCTTCAAAGCATACACGCCCACCCATAACAGGCACCAACCGAAAGCAAAAGACCACGATGCAATTTGCAAGGCTAATCATGGACCCAACCTGAGCATGTTGGAAGGGTCTGCGGCGACAACCAAGTGGTCGCTCACATATCATCCTTGAGCTCTCAAATTTCAACATGTCAAATCTCGAAACCAAAGATTTCCCTACCTGGGGGATGAACTCGGGAAGAGGGTCAAGGCGAATATGTCGATGATTCATGCCTTCGTTGTGTCTTCCTCTTGTGGATGGGGTCTAAAATGAAAAGGCGACAGTCTTCTACTAGCCCCTCTGCGAAAGTCCTTTGCACGAGATGTGAGACATGAAGCCAAATCTACGTGACTGCAACTTTGTGATAACCCCCAATAAAATCTACAGTCGACGATAATAATGCTGTCCCTGTGCCGATATGGAGCAAAAATAGGGTGAATCACAATATTTTGTCGTAGAATCACCCGGCGCTATGGGGCTCCCCGCCTCCCTCACATAACAACACTCCAGCACGTTGCCCTACAATCCACTACCTAGGACTAGTTCCAACACCACCAAACACCACATGCATGCCGCAGTCCAGCACATGCATTCACCCACCACGATCATCCCAACCCTTCCACCGCCCCGACCAGTCCGTGCGCCTTGCAGAACAAACGTTATCTTGCCTTTTTGACATTAAGAGTCCTTCGGAACCGGCGGCACAAGAGCGTCGGTCCGAGGGCCTGCTGCCGAGAAGCCCTCCTTCAAGGATAAGACGACCACGTTTCCGACACACTACGACACCAGCCCCGAAATCACGAAATGCACACACCGCTGTGTCCAACGTCCCACGGACGAAGGAACAAAGAAGGAGACCTTGAACCCCTGGGGTAGTTTCTCCAAATTATGAGCGACGTGTCCCAAAAATTGGCTGCCCGCGCCTGCGCCACAGGATCGGCGCCGACGGCTTCTGTACGTCGGCGCAACTGGGTGCAAAAACACCAGCAATGGCACAAAAAGATCGGTATCGCATTATATGCCAGTAAATTTTTCGTTAAAACATATGTTTTTTCCGCCTTTCTGCCTTCGCAATGCATCAATTTTGTGAAAAAGAATCATTTTTTCGAACGTTGCCTCTGAAAGTGATCTGCCTGCTCTTGCCTCTCTTTCAGAAAGTGTACGTATCACATAGTCGTCCAAAATGGCGGCGGGGGCTAGTGATGACAGACAGGAACTTCTTAATTTGATCAAAGACGGCTGGTTTGAGGAGAGACAGAGCTTTTGGACAGGTACTGTGATCTTTTTTTCTAGCCTTTCCTTCTTTCCTTCTACTCCACGGCTTGATGCGCGCCCTATCGTATCTATGCATACATAAAGTGCCTCCAAGAAATATTACCAAGTGTTTTTGGAATGTACCGAGTCTTTGGCTTGCGAAACACAACAGGACAACGGTTCTCCCTCCAAGTGGAAAAGGTGCTCTTTCACGCGCGTTCTGCCTATCAGGACGTTCTGCTCTTTCAATCTACCTCCTACGGCAAAGTCCTCGTGCTCGATGGAGTCATCCAAGCCACGGAACGTGACGAGATGGCTTATCAAGAAATGATTTCGCACTTGCCCCTTTTTGCGCACCCAAACCCGCGCAAAGTCCTCATCATTGGGGGCGGGGATGGAGGCGTGCTGCGGGAGGTGGCGAAACATCCGTCGATCGACACCATCCACATGTGCGAGATAGATAAAATGGTGATCGACGTGAGCAAAGAATTTATGAGTGACACGTTGGCCACGTCGTATGAAGATCCTCGCTTGACGCTGGTGAGTGAGAAGGGAGAGGAGTGAAAGGGAAGGGGAAGGAACGAGGGACCGGGCTCGGGACCCTGACGCTCGGGCGGCCAAACCGCATGTGCTGCCTACTTCTATGCCCTCTAAGATCTTCGTCAACGGATACTCGCACAGGTGGTTGACGATGCGGCCAAATTTGTCACTCAGGACGGGCACTGCACCTACGATTGCATTATTGTCGACTCGTCCGACCCCGTTGGTGCGTATACAGGCGAAAGAGCACAGGAATGGCAAAGATGCGCGGAAAGTCTCGCATCCCATGAGCGCACGGCGGCATGCAGATTTCTTTGCCTCTTTTGCTGCTCCATGCCCCTTTGCTCACCCTCGTTGACATGTCATCTCCCCCGCAGGACCCGCCGAAGCCCTCTTCGAAGCCGCCTTCTTTCAATCGCTCCATAAAGCACTCAACCCGGGCGGTATCATATGCACACAGGCAGAATGTCAATGGCTACATTTGGATTTCATTTCCAAGGTCTACCGAGCTTGCTGTGACATCTTTACCGAGGTCGAGTACGCATACACAGCCATCCCCACCTATCCTTCAGGACAAATTGGTTTCATGCTCCTCTACAAGGGCCCTGAAACCTCTGCAGCTGAAGATGATGGTAAGTGCGACGATTTACGGCCTTTGACTTCTTTACGGGTCGCCGCCCGTACGCCATCTGCTGAGGTTCAAGCAAGCCTAAAATTTTATAATCCTGCTCTTCACACCGCTGCATTTGCCTTGCCCGAATTCGCTCGACGGAAGCTGGACGAGGCCCGTGCACAAGTCAAACCGCGCTCATAGGAAATGATGTCAGAGCTAAAGTACTTTGTTGCGGACACATATGTGAGTCCGTCATTGGTTTTACTAAAACATCACCCCTGATCGAAAATTCGTTTCTTTTGGCACTTTTGTTTTCTTTGTCTTTTATATTCTTTCACAAAAGTTGCGCGCAAGAAAGAGGAAACATTCAACATTTATATCCAGAAAGCCTTCGCGTATCAAACTTGCAACAAAGCGTGATTGTTTGGTCGTTACACATTGCACATCGTTGTCCGAGCTGGTTGCCAGATGTGAGTGCCATTTGTGCAAACCATTAGGCCTGGGATATCTTTATGGGAGCATGCCCTCACATTGAAAGCCTTGTGGAGTACGCATATCGCGCCTCGTCGCATTTCCAACTTAATTTTGGTGGCTGCAGTTTGTTCCGCATAGCCTCGGGGGCTTCGTGCGCTCCGAACAAAGGAGCCTCCGACAGTATCTTTGTCATCATCTTACCGGCTTGCTCAATTCCATGCCTCTTCCGACGTGCAATGTGCGGCATATAGCACAGATCCTGCCATCATTGTGTGATATTCTCTCCGTCAACCGAGAAGCAACTGTATCTGTCCACTCTGAGTTCACAGTGATGGTACGTGACGGACGCCTCCAGGATGGGCCCTACAAAGGGCAGCTTGCATCCCCTCTCATTAAATTCCTCGCCCCATCCTTCTTAAAGCTACCGGCACCACGCAGGGAAATGGTGACAACATCACTGTGCGCTAAATCTTCCGACTTTCTGCAGCAGCAGCAATTTCCTGGTCCTACGTCAATAGACACGCAGCAACCGCTTGAGAAGCATGTACTATCCGTGACGGAGGTGCACGAGACGACCGGGAGTCCCTCGACAGAGACCACGGACAACCAACACGGACGGCAAAAATTGCAGCAGGGCATAAGAACCGAACAAATGCCGCATCAGCCGTACCTTTTACAGCCCTTGCCCGTCCTTTCCCCTCCACCTTCTGCGGAAGACAAGAACCAGTTTGCGCCCTCCGCTATGCCGCCACAGCTTGCGCTATTTTCACAACCCACAAGTTCATTAACGTTGGCATTGGAGACTGCGGATCCTCCCGTCTTGGAAGGATTTTACAACTATCCCAAATCCCAGGAAGGCGTCCATCACGAGCCGTGGATTCGGCTGTTCGGTGCTATCTTGCAGCCTGCCGCTGACGGCTTTGTCGTCACAGATCACACATGTACGAGGGGCGTCAGCCTCTGGACCTTTACGTTGCGATTGTTGGGGGTCAAGGCCCTGGGATGGCGGGCATTGGATGAGTCAGCGACCTGGAAGTCGATCGGGATCCGGGTCACCAAACTGCGCAAGCAGCAAGAGGAGGGGTCCGCCAAGATCAACATCAACGAATGGATCGGAGAACACATTGTTTGGCGCCGGGAGTTCCGCACCCGACCCTTCGACATGCGCGTACCTCGTCCACCACCTCCAAGGACGACCGAGGAGGCGGCCGCGGAGCTGCCTGGGCCCGTGCGCGTCAAGAGCACCTTTGCGCTGGGCATCACTCTGCGAGATCCCTCCGACCCGGATGTACAACGCGCCTTAGCCAACGCAGTGGACCGGATAGCGCCTGGTGCTGTCCCGTCTCGCATGGGCCTTGTTTTCGCGGAGTATCGGCGCTTGTGGAACGCCTACGAACCCCTATCCCTCCAGCAACGGCAGCATGGCAGGGTGGGACAGACCGCGGGCAAGAAGCGGAAGAAGATGGATTCGGAGGCGGCGTCGGCGGCCCTTGAACCTCCTGCTGTGGCTCCTTCGGCGTCGGATGATTCAGCGATGGGAGAAGGGCAGGAAAGGGGGCAGGTGCAGCTGGTTTTAGAGGGCCAGGGGGAGGGCCACGACCAGGTTTTCAATAGCGCAGAGAGGGAAGCCAAGGACTACGGCATGATGGTAATGCAAGCAGTGGGCGGTGACGAGAGTCACGTGCACATGCTGAACGGAGGCATGGGGATGGCGGCGATGGAAGGAGGGGAGGGAGGCCGAGGGGGAGGCATGACGGGCCCGGGGAGTAGCGGGGGAGCCGTCATGCTAGCGCCCGCGGACACGGCCTCGTTGCCTTACATGGCGCATCAGGAAAACGAAATCCAGCCGCCGATTGCCCGCGAGGGACGGGTGGAGTACCCCCGAGTGCATGGAGGGGCGGCGGGGGTAGGGGGTGGGGGCATGGGTCTTGCGACGGGGCTGCCGGGTCAGAGGGGGCACGTACAAGGGGAGGATGTACATGGCGAGCGACTGCCGGTGGAGGTGGGCTCCCTGCACCTGGTCGCGCCCCAGAACCCTCCTTTTTCCCACGGCGGTGACCATGTCCGTAGGGAGGATCTGAGTCCCTCCGCCTCGAGAGAGGCGGGGCCCCAGCCTGAGTTTTTCCTACAGCACGGACCGACGGACCGACAGGACGTGCACCTGGTGGGGGGAGGGGAGGAATCCGGCGAGTACGGGGTCTACCACGTGGAGGGACCCGACGCGGAGGACGGAGGCGGGATGGCCTCGCTGGCAAGCATGGCCATGGAGGCCGGCGTGCCTGTGGATTTGGAGCACCACCACCCGCAAGAACATTCCCACCACGCAGGAGTGGTTCACGAGGCTAGCTTTCGGGAGGAGGGGCTGGTTGAGGACCAGCCACAGGGGGCGCATGATCACGAGATGCCCCTCCACCAGGACACAAACGGGGACGGCGGCGGGGGGGCTTACCCTGACCAAGAGTCCGCTTCCCTCCCTGATCCGCGCAAGTTGGTGGCTCTTTGAATGTAAAAGCTTCTCCCCGAGAGGGTGCAACACACGTGTCTATCGCGGCGTCGAGTTATGTTCTTGGATGATGGCGGCCCACGATTGTCGATATTTGATGGATACGTACGAAGACATTAACACTCTTTTGACTCATTTGTCCTGTATTGACGGGCAGAAATTGACCCCACTGACGACTGCCTAGTCGTCTCATGGCGGAAAAGGTCACAAATGTGAAGTTCGGAGCTTCCAGATTTCTCGTTCGATTTTCTACGTTTCGTATGTCTTTCTTTTGGCCTTCCCGTCCTAGGCAATTATTCACATTTCCGTATGTCTCGGGTTCAAACTGTTTCAGTTTCGGCCTGGCATTGCCTGCGACGCTTACCCCCCTAGGTTGTAACCAAGCACTGCCTTAGATGTCGGCAAGAAACCCTCGTCCTCAATCAGCAAACCCTCCCGCCTCAAGATCGCCGGCCCTTGCGGCACCGATCTCAGCAGCCACCGTAGCAACAACAGGTTCTTCTCGGCTGTCGGCAGGTCTCCGTGCTTCAGACCTCCCATGGAGCTCACGAAAGCCAACGTCACTGCAGTACTCCCGGATAAATTGAAGCTTTCCGCGAAGCCCATCATCGGAATCTGGAACGTCCCGTCACACAAGGAGCGCATTTCTTCCGTGATGCCCCTTTCTTCGTTCCCCATCACAATCGCCACCTTCTGAGCCGCCCAATTCACCTCCTGCACTGGTTTCGGGGACGTGCCCGGCTTCAAGTCGCTCGCCAAGACGTAATATCCCTCTCTCTTCAATGCGGCCACGCAAGCTGACGCGCTCGGGTGCTCCCTGACGGTCAACCATTTTTGTGAGCCCATAGCGCTCTTTGCTTGAGCGAGGCGGTGCGGTTTGCGGTAGTGAGCAGTATCGAGGATGACGTGTGCATACTGAACTCCGAAAGCATCCAGAGATCGAAGACACGCCCATAGATTGTTGGGGTTGGCGACATTTTCGAAGACAAATTGGACAGATTTGGTGCGCTTGTTCACAATATCTCGCAGACGCTCTAAACGAGCAGCAGTACAGAATCTGGATAGGCACTCTGTCGCAGCAGCCACGTCTCGGATATGTCGGTCATCCTCCTCCTCGTGATCCATATTGTGATTTTCACCCTCCCTTTCTTCAGCTTCTTTACCGACACTTTGAGTAGAACCGTCACCATGTTGCTTTATTCTAAGACTGCGACCGTTGTTCTCTCCACTCCATCCCGCGTTGACCCCGAACTCCCAATTATCGAAGTTTCCGTCATTCGAATCGGGTTTGGGTACATCGTAGTGGAGCTTTCTTTTACGTCGAGTGTCACAGACAGCCACAGACGTCCGAGGAAAGAGTAGGCTCCTTTGTACCCTTATGTTGGTCGTGAAGAGGCCTCCACGATTTTTGAATGCGGCAGAGATGAAGCTGGCAGGGCGAGATGAGGAGTAGGCTTGAGGCAGTCTTGCGCGAACTAAGATAAGCACACTGACCACAAAGGCTACTTGACAGGAACGCCCATCCCAGCCGGCCGAGGCATACAGCATGACGTTCTCTGTTGATTAAGATGTCATTAGTCTCATGGAGGCGCATAACACGATCGGGAAAAGGGCAGGCATGGGTGAAAGGCTGGGGACACGTACCGTAAGATCGCCGTTGAAGACGGGGCGTTTAAAAAAGCGTATAATCCGCGCACAAACTGATGGAAAGGTGCCATAATTCCTGCCATCCAGACTAGCGCTACCCATGAGCGAGAATTTCCCCCGTACTAATATTCCGGATGGACTAGATGCTGGATCGATAATTGCGCACGTCCCACCTTCCGACGAGTTGCCGCAGAAAATGCGGACGAAGCCTCCCCTTGAGTTCACGTTCGAGGTAGGGGGTTATAATTCGTGCAGTTTTTTTCAAAAAGCTACCAAGCTGGTATCGGCACTGACATTGTTATATCCAGATGGCTACATACGATGCCAGGAGCAAAACCTTCCAACTCGAGACGCCTACAGGGCTTGGTTGTCTGAGCGCAAGATGGCGCCTCAATTTAATGCGGACCCGCGAGCGCAAGCGCATACTTCTAGCCCGTTTGTCGTACTGAATGGCACATTTTTAGGGGGTTGCGATGATACGATTGCCTGCTGTCGGCATAATTTCGTTGTTGACAAAAGCGTCGGCGGGGTCAGCCGGGCAGAGGATACCGAGAGGGAGGTTTTGCAGGCTCCCGACGGCTTCGACAAGCAACATACATACGATTATGACTTGATTGTGATCGGTGGAGGTAGCGGAGGTTGTGCTTGTGCCGAGGAGGCATCCCTTTTAGGCGCTCGAGTTTTACTTTTGGATTATAAAAACCCCTCTCCCCGAGGTGCTGCATGGGGACTAGGGGGTACAAGCGTAAATGCGAGTTGCATTCCGCGCCATCTATTCCACATAGGAAGCGCTCTGGGCGAAACGATTGCAGTAGATTTGCCAGCGTTTGGTTGGGAGTTTGGGGTGGAATCGGGAGCAACGAGGCAGGACGAGAGAGCAACGCAGGCAGAGGACGAGAGACAGCAGATGCACCACCACTCTTGGTCCATCCTGCGGGATAATGTACAAGCATACACCCGCCGCCTCAATTTTGAACTCCGTCTCAAGCTTCGTGATGCGCGTGTGACGTACTTTAACAAGCTTGGCCGATTTTGGGACGCGCATACCTTGGACGTTCAAGGTGATCACGGGGGCACAGGGCGACTGACTGGAGCCCGCTTCGTGATTGCAGTGGGCGATCGGCCCCAGCCTCTAGACTGCCCCGGGGGGGAACTGGCAATCACAACAGACGAGCTGTTCTCCTTAGAGAGGGCACCCGGTGAGACGTGTGTGGTGGGTGTAGGCCACATCGCTGTGGAGTGCGCGGATCTTCTTCGAGGCATGGGCCATACCGTGACGCTGGCGGTACGCTCCACCATTCTCCAGGACGAGGAGTACGACAGAGAGTGCGTTGAGAAGTTGGAAGAGCACCTGACAAAGGCCCGGCGCTTGCGCCTTTTGCAAGGTGTTGTGCCCTTGTCGTTGGCTCTGGAGGAGGCGGGCGGTCGGAAAAAGGTGCGCGTCACTTTTTCGAGCGGGAACGCATGCGTGTTTGACACCGTCATCGCAGCCCTAGGCCGAATTGTCGACCTGGAGGCCTTGAATACAGACGGAATAGGTTTGGCAGTGGACCCAGAGAATGGAAGATTGCGATGCCAAGGCGAGCAAACGACCCAGGCCCATATATACGCGATTGGCAGTGTGCGCACCGGGAGCCCGGAGCAGGCGACTTGTGCAGCTCAAGCAGGAAAATTGCTCGCCCGAAAAATGTTCGGAAGCTCTCAAGTAGGGGTAAACGATGCTGTCATACCGCGAAGGATCCTGACATTGTGGGAGTACGCCTGTGTCGGTCTGAGCGAGGCACAGGCGAGGGCGGTAGTGGAGGGGAAGGATTTGAAAGTGTACCGAGCCTCTTTCACACCCTTGGAGTGGGCCATCGTCCCGGAAAGAACGGGGCCAGAAGGGACCAGGGACGGGTTTCTCAAGGTGGTGGTGCGGAGATCGGATGACTGCGTGCTCGGCTTGCACTATCTGGGCCCACACGCGGGAGAGGTGATAGAGGGATTTGCAGTGGCCATGAATGGGCAATTGTGTGCGGGAAATGGGGCTGGAAAGAGCCTCACCTACGCACAGCTTGTGAGCACGACGGGTATACATCCATATTCTGCGCTTTCGGTCATTCAAAGCTCGCGGCTAACAACCCTTAGCCCCGGTCAAGCTTAGTCCGCAGTGGATCAGAACAACAAGGTGAGGTTTGTACGATAAAATCATCTTAGTCTATTTTTCTCGTCAATGTCATACACGTTTTAGTCGTAATTCGTGCTTAATGGCAAAGTTGCTGATTCTTTCTTTGCATACTCTTTTGTACTTCGTAAATTAATGCCCACACCATCAGACCCAACTTGTCATTTTCACGCACTCTTGAAAATTCACACCGTCTCTTACCGTGTTTTCCGCGGCGAACTTCGGGCACGTCGTCCACCGGCAGCTAATAAAAACCCGACCACAACCATCATAATCGCGTGTAACCCCGTGGCAGCCTCATCAAGCGTGCCTTCCAAGTAGTACCCATAGGATGCATCCACTACGATGACAGAGTGGTAGAAGAGGAAGGCCGACAAAATGATGCGTTTCGTTTTAGCGTCGAGTTTCATGATGGCGGCATATGCGACAATAGCCTGGACGATAATGCTGAAGGCGAACCACCGAAGGAGGGATCGTTCACTATTGTTGTAAGATGCACGCCTAGCAATGTACGGAAAGACATAGTGCGGCTGCAACAAGAGGATCAAGCCGACGATACCCTCAAAGCCGCCATGAATTATAAGAGCAAGGTCCAGGTCCAATGCCACCATCCCTCAACCCTTTGTAAGATTAGGAGGAAGGAGAAAGCAGTGAGTTTGACATAACCTTGACACGAGGGAAACAAAACGAGCAAAAGCTTCTCCAGACGGCGATCTCTATCGCCCCCGAGGCGACGGGACGGTCCCGATTGGACGGCTCGGAACGGTCCCAGTAGGACGGCTCGGAACGAGCGGGGTGAACGGCTCGGAACGGTCGACGGCTCCTTCGACGAAGGCCATCGAATGTTCTGGATATCTGACATGTTCCGTGGGCACCACAATTGTTCTATTTTCGACGTCAGTCTCTGAGTGGTGGTGGCATTTTTTCACTGTCTACGCTTGTACTGGTGCGTACATTTGGTATTTCATCTGAGAGCATAAATTACTCAATCTGTATGCATCGGGGAAGGATTTCAACTCTGCGTGCATCACTTTTTTTGCTCGAACAAAGCGCAGGAAGCAACGAAGGCTGCTTCTTTCTTTTTCCTCTTGCGATATTTCTTGCAAGGAGTCTGTAAGAAAGCGACTTGCTTGCGAGAGCAACGTTGTAGGTAACATATACTCTCTCGTGTTGTACTGTTTATTGACGTGCGGTCAGTTCTGTAGGGTTTTTGGTGCAGACAAGGATTTTCTCATGCCGTTGTGTGAGTGTGTGGGTGGGGCAGGGTGCACTGTTTTTGACACCAAATAAAAACAACCCTTGACACGAGGAGGCCAGTAATATTTTCCCATGTCGATGAAGATATGTCTGCCCAGGCCTTCGTCGTAATGTTGGAGGTAGTCATTGGATGTGGAATGATGGGCGGGTTAAATACGAAAACATCTTCGCCCCTATGGAAGGGGAAGGGTGGGGGGCAAATGAACTCCCGTCCTATTCCCATGCCCGGCCTTCATTGAGATACTTACTCTGTTTCCTCTATGTATACAGAACAGCCTACACAGATTCTTTCGGAGTAAGCTAAGAGAAGCAACCATGTCTGGCGATGCCGAAACATTTGCCTTCTCGGCGGATATCAATCAATTGCTATCCCTGATTATCAACACCTTCTACTCCAACAAGGAAATTTTCCTTCGCGAACTCATCAGGTAGGTGAAAATGCTCGTGCTCTGAACGCACAGATTCTTTTTGGATACTGCGGTCTAGCCCTGCACCTCTGACGATTTTCTGTCTGTCTGAGTCCTTTGCACCATCACGTGAGGGGCGCTGCTGGTTTCTGTCTAGTGAAGCTAGCCTGACGGGCGACAGGTTTACCGTTTCTTTCAAGTTGGATCACTGAGCTCACAGACCCTTGGCACTATGACAGCAATTCTTCGGATGCCTTGGACAAGATTCGTTACATGTCTCTGACGGACAAATCCGTGCTGGACTCGGAGCCTGAATTAGAGATCCGCCTGATTCCCGACAAGGCGAATGGGACCCTGACCATTGAGGACACGGGGATCGGGATGACCAAAGCCGACCTGATCAACAATCTGGGGACCATCGCCAAGTCCGGCACGAAGGCCTTCATGGAGGCCCTGCAGGCAGGCGCCGATATCAGCATGATCGGGCAGTTCGGCGTGGGTTTCTACTCGTCGTATCTGGTTGCGGACAAGGTGGTGGTGACGAGCAAGAACAATGACGACGAGCAATACACCTGGGTGTCCGAGGCTGGAGGTTCCTTCACTGTCACCCCCGACACCTCCGGGAAGCCGTTGGGGAGGGGAACCCGCATTGTCCTGCACCTGAAGGAGGACATGAAGGAATATCTGGAGGAACGCCGCATCAAGGACCTGGTCAAGAAGCACAGCGAATTCATCGGTTTCCCCATCAAGCTGTACGTGGAGAAGACTACGGAGAAGGAGGTGACGGACGACGAGGCAGAGGAGGAGGAGGAGGAGAAGGAAGGGGAAGAGAAGCCCAAGGTGGAGGAGATGGATATGGAGGACGAGAAGGAGAAGAAAGAGAAGAAGACGAAGAAGATCAAGGAAGTGACGCACGAGTGGGTCCACTTGAACCAGCAGAAGCCGATCTGGATGCGGAACCCGGAGGAGATCACACAGGAGGAGTACGCGGCTTTCTACAAGTCCTTGACCAATGACTGGGAGGAGCACGCGGCGGTGAAACACTTCTCGGTGGAAGGGCAGCTGGAGTTCAAGGCGGTCCTTTTCGTTCCCAAGCGTGCGCCCTTCGACATGTTCGAGGGAGGGTCCAAGCGCAAATGCAACAACATCAAGTTGTACGTCCGGCGGGTCTTCATCATGGACAACTGCGAGGAATTGATGCCGGAATACCTCCAATTTGTCAAGGGCGTGGTCGACTCGGAGGATCTGCCTCTCAACATTTCCCGCGAGACGCTCCAGCAAAACAAGATTTTGAAGGTGATCCGCAAGAACCTGGTGAAGAAGTCGATCGAACTCTTCAACGAGCTGGCGGAAGACACGGAGAAGTACAAGAAATTCTACGAAGCCTTCGCCAAGAACATCAAACTGGGCGTGCACGAGGACTCCACGAACAGGGCCAAGCTGGCCAAGCTTTTGCGGTACTACTCGACCAAGTCGGGGGAGGAAATGACGGGCTTTGACGACTATCTGGCGCGCATGCCTGAGAAGCAGCCGGGGATCTACTATGTGACAGGCGAGAGCAAGCGCGCGGTCGAGAACTCCCCTTTCCTGGAGAGGCTGAAGAAGAAGGGGTACGAGGTCCTGTTCATGATCGACCCCATCGACGAGTACGCGGTGCAGCAGCTCAAGGAGTACGAAGGGAAGAAACTGATTTGCGTGACCAAGGAAGGGCTCAAGATCGACGAGGACGACGAGGAGGAGGCCAAGGCCTTCGAGGAGCTCAAGGCGAAGACGGAGGGTCTGTGCAAGCTCATGAAGGAGGTCCTGGACGAGAAGGTTGATAAGGTTGTGGTGTCGCCCCGACTGGCGGACTCCCCCTGCGTCCTAGTCACGGGGGAGTACGGATGGTCGGCCAACATGGAGCGGATCATGAAGGCACAGGCCTTGCGTGACTCCTCCACCTCGGCGTACATGACGAGCAAGAAGACGATGGAGATCAATCCTAAACATCCCATCGTCAAGGCCTTGCGCGAAAAGGCGGAGGCGAACCAAACAGACAAGACCCTCAAGGACTTGACCTGGCTGCTGTACGACACGTCGCTCTTGACCTCGGGCTTCTCGTTGGACGACCCCAACACGTTCGCCTCCCGCATCCATCGGCTGATCAAGCTGGGCTTGTCCATTGACGAGGAGGTGGAGGAGGAGGGTGCCGGAGGCAAGGACGACGAGTTGCCCCCCCTGGAAGAGGGAGGTGAGGGAGAGAGCGCGATGGAGACGGTCGATTAAGGACGTGATGTGTGAGGAGAGGAAATAGGAAGCCTGAAGGTTGGTGGCTGGGTGAGCGAAGACGGGCAGTCGGGGGGAAATATGTGTTACTTGTCAAATTCTGGAGTCTTAGATCTGAGGACCCTTTGAGAGAAATTGGGTTTTACAGATTAGACGAAAGAGGTTCGAGGTGAATAACTCGTTTTCACGTGGCTGTCGGGGGAAGGGCGAGAGCTGGGAACAGGGAGAAACGAGGCAGGTGCCGCAGCATGTTTCATAACTAACGGCGTATCAGAACCAGTCACAGAATTTCGCAAAGAGAAGTGCGTAGGTTGATCTTTTTTCCTCGATCGTGCCGTGTCAAGAAGGAGTATCCAGATGCCAAACGCCGGAGGGCGATCTTAGAGGAAGGAACAGAGGCCGAAAGGAAAGATGGTAGTATGTAGGATGTGTTATGAATTCTCCCCTCTGCTGCAAGAGCCCACGACCTTATGAGAAAAGAAACCCGAAAAACGAGGAAAACAACTCATGCTACGTAGACGGTGGAAGTGCTCTTTTTTTAATCTTGATTTTTCGGGTTTGATCTGTATTTTTCGGGTTCGATCTGTTTCGACACTGCCATGCGGCCACCCTGTCCCTGGATAGGAGTGATGGGCAGAGAGAAAAGACAACTTCCACTGCCAGCTCACAGAAAAGAATGTGTAGACGCACAATAACCGTTGGGAGAGAAGCTCAACATCACAATCATGCGCTGCTCGCAGTACCTTCATACCTAGCGTGCTCTCACCCGCCAATCCCTCCATAGTCCCGCGCCGTTACATTCCCCTTCTCCCCCAGAGACGTATTATGCATCAATACATATGGCTCCAGTTTGCCCCCCCAGATACGCCAGTGGCCTAAGGGAAAAAGTCGGCGATCGAAGAGACGAAGAAGTCGGGATGGATCTTGTTGGCCGCGCCCAACAATTTCTCCTCAGAGGTGACCCCACTCAGCGTCAGGACCGTCTTCAATCCGTTGTCCTTCCCAAACAAAATGTCCGTGTCCAGTCGGTCACCAACCATGCAGATCTTGTCCTTGGGAATCTTATATTTATAGACGATGTAGTCGATCATCAACGGGCTCGGCTTCCCTACGAGGGTCGGCTCCTTTCCTGTGCATCCTTTGATGCATCCCACCATCGATCCTGCGCCCGCCCATTCCTGGGCGTCAGTCAAGTGCGTGACGGCGTCCATGTTCGTTGCGATGAATTCCGCGCCGTTTTCATTGATGGCCAATTGAGCGTACTGGATTTTATGGTAGTTAAAGTGACGATCAAAGCCCACGACCACGGCACCCACATCGTGATCGATCTCCAGGGCATACCCCGGCGTCAATTCGATCGTTTTACCTTTATCTGCCGGACCGCCAATGTGCGGAACACCGATGAGGTCCAATTCTTCCCCGATCCCTACCTCTCCAATAACGTAGACTTTCTTGCCAGTTGCCTTAAAATTCTTCTGCTCCAGGTATGCAGCAGCCGCAAAAGAGGAGGAAAAAATTTCTTCGTCCTGCACATCCAGCCCAAGAGACGAAAATTTACTCTTGTAGCCTTTACGGCTTTTAGTTGAGTTGTTGGTGACAAAAAACATCCGCTTTCCCATCGCTCGCAATTTCTCCAGCACAGATGGCACTTTGTCGATCAACGAGTCTCCTCGCCATATCACGCCATCACAATCGAATATAAACACGTCGGTGTTCTTCAGCAGCTCCTCTTCCGGGGATGTGAGACGCTTGACCGATGCAGCTCCAGGCGTTGCCACCGTGGCCATCATAGATGAGCTTCCGCGCCGAGCAGCGGCAGCATTGGCCATAGCTATCGGGCTTGATGATGCACGTAGTAAACGAGGCACGGTGAAAGCAGAACAGGAGCCGACACAAAAAGCAAGCATCCCCAAGCCGAACGTGTTACGCATGATTTGATGCCTGGTAAATCCAAATGATGATCGGAAAAAGAAGGATTATTTTACGAGCTGTAATACTCGCAAGAGGTGATCTCAGGACTCAAGCTTACGTAAGAAAAGAGATCATGAAGCGCTTGGCATAATTTTCCTGCGCCCACGAGAAGGCGTACAACAGACTTCATCACACAACAATACGAGTAGCGTACCACGGTCTGCACGGGGCCTAAAAAGACAAGGAGTCGGAAGAGGGCATGCATTTGTGTTAGTTCAAATCCGATGACGTTGGCGTCGCTGAGGCCTCGCCGGCATTTTCTCGATACGGAAATCGTCTCCTCACCGCCCCGGCGGAAAATGACCAATTACATCACTCGGACAGGGACAGCGTGATCATGGTGCTTGGGGAGGGTAGCAAAAAAACTGATGGCAAGTCGACCGATCCAGCAAAAGCGACCGAGGAGAAGCGCGTCCCCGCCCCGCTGCGAGAGCGCAAAGGGAAGAAGCAGGAAGGGAAAGACTTGCGAACCCCATCTAGCAACCTGAAACCTGCGCGTTCCCCCACGGAGGTCGATTGGAGTTCTTTTCCCGAGGGAAGCTACACACGTTTTGGGCATGGTGGGGATTGGTGGACCTTCTTGAAAGGCACACTTGCCATTTTAACAGTGTGGGCAACCTGGTTAGGGGGGGGCACTTCACCCGTATGGATGGCTTGTTTATACATGCATGGGTACCGAGTTGCATTCTGGATCCTGTTGGGCCCTTTACTCTATCCGCTTTTCCTTCCTGTCTCAGCCTGGCCTGCATTTGTTCGTTTCGTGTTGGACATGGCCGGTTATTTTGAGGTACGGATACACCGTCGATTGAGGGGGGAGGACAAGAGAGAAAGTGAGGCGGAGTGCGGAAGAAAATGTCCTTCCCAATAGGAGTTGGTCTGAAAAGCTGATCATCTTTGTCTTCCGTGAGCATGGGGGTCGAGATCGCGCAGATCGAGTCTGCGTGGATCACCATTCTCTTTTTCCCTAACCGCTTTCCTCCTCCCTCATCTTCTCCTTCTTTCACCCGTCAGGGTGGGGCCGCCATGTACGTCGAGAATTCTTTCAAGGGCAGGAATGTCAACGGTCCAATCATGCTGGCCATGCATCCCCATGGGATCATGCCGCATTCCTTCCTTTTGAACGGCGCAGGCCGGATTCATGCCCAAAAACCCGAATTTTACCTCCCCCCCCACTACCAAGACATGTCCCTGAAATCGACGGGGGTGGCGGAACCGCTCCTCTTTCGCATCCCTTTGATATCTGCCTTTCTGTACTTTTTTGGATGCGCGGAGCCGGCGTCGAAGGCGATGATGCACAACATCTTGGAGCGGCAGGTGCCTTTTGGCATTTTGGTAGGTAGACCCTCGGGCTCACTGGCGGGTGTGGTTGGGGGCAATGGAAGAGGAAGCTCACCTTGTGTCTGCTTTGGATCCCATGTGCTCACAGGTGGGAGGCTCGGAGGAGATTTTGCTGATGGAGTATCAACGAGAGAATGTCTACATTTTGGAGCGAAAAGGCTTCATTAAATACGCGTTACAGCACGGCTATACTATCGCCCTGGGGTATTTGTTCGGAGAGAGCAACCTGTACCACACCATCACCTGGGGCCGGAAGCTCCGGCTTGCCCTTTTCAAGCGCTTCAAGATCCCAATCTTCTTCGCCCGGGGACGCTGGTTTTTCCCCCTACTGCCCGAACGGGCCACCCCCCTTAACGCCGTGGTCGGAAACCCCATCGACCTGCCTCGGATCGCCGACCCGACCCAGGAGGACATAGACAAATACCACGCGATCTATATCGAGAAGCTCACGGACTTATTTGAGCGGAATAAGGCTGCCTTTGGATACCCGGACCGGGAGCTGCATCTGTTTTGAAAGGGGGGGGGCACCTCCTTGGGGCGGCAGACGGGAAAAGACTACGAAGGGGTAGTAGTCGGCAGGCATGCCGTGTCAGTGACCGGACACTTCCAGGGTGGTAGTTGTTGTTTGGGTGATTGGTCAAGGAAGGGGGGAAGGAGGGGCCAGGTCTGGATGGGTTTGGAAGTAAAGGGGGTGTACAGTGTGGGAGAGGCAACGGCGATGAATGCCTGATGGGCGACAAACCAAACAGACAAAAAATAACGATAGACAAGCAAGTGCGGATTTGTCACGCGGGGATGCTAGCATCGCCTGATCCTCCTCCAGATCCTCTTTGCCATGGGGGGAAAGTTCTCATCCTATCCAACATTACTTTGTTCTCTGTCCTTGCGGGCCGCGTCTCGGTGGAGGCACTGCTTTACTCCGCTATTTTCTTCCTACATGCTACCTCTACGCGGCTGAAGCCGCCTCATCGGTAGTAGAGCCTGGCCATGGTCCGCGTCGCTTGGATCCGGTAGGGCTCCCCGAGCATGCCTAGGACTAGGAACAGGAAGAAGAGGAGCACAGCCAGGATGGACGGGTAGAGGAACACCTCGGTCCGGTGCAGGAAAGGCAGGGCGCGGTAGCCCAGGTGTGTGACGTAGAAATACACAGCAAAGGCAGCCCCGAAGATGGCGTTGGAGACGATCAAAGCCATGAGGGAGGGGCGGAGGAGGAGGGGAAGGAGGAAATAATGGAGGACGGAGGTGAGGAGGAAGAAAGGCAAAAACGCGTTGCAGTGGATGTCGAAAGCGTAGCGCCACTCCACTTCCTGTTCGACGCTGTGCGACCGGAGCTCTAAGAGGTACCGGTTTGCCACTGACCGGCACACTGTCGCCACGACCAAGCCTACCAAGAGCCAGTCGAAAAGAATGGCACGCAGAGCCAAAAAGAGGTAATGAACTGGACCTCCCCGCACGTGGAAGGCTAGGGCGTAGGCTGAAGAAGAAACAAGCAAGAAGGCGATCTGTATGACGGCCAAAGCCGGGTCATCCCTCGCCCAGTGATTTTTAGTATGTTTTCTGTAGGAAGCCATTTTGTACATTCGCTGAGGGTGAGAAGAGCAGAGCATCAGGATGTCTTCAAACGCCGCGTCGAAGTCCATCTGGTTGGGGTCAACAATCCTCCGCAAATACTCCAGCAAGCCGCTGCTCCCTCCTCCCCCGCCTCCGCTGCTACTGTGTCGACGGTAGTGTCCTGATCCTGTGTAGTGCGGCGTACCGAGCCCACCGACTTGGTAAGACCGCATGTGTGTCTAGCCTGCGTCCACGCAAGTTGTGCAATGCTGTCGAGTCTGTCAGTAGATCCAAGCTTGTATCAAATATACACGCGATGGTGGGGGAGCTGGGGAGGTCTCCGAGGGAGTCCGTGTCTGCTGTAGTGGAGGGAAAGTGAAGTTACAGAAAAGAAAACGGGAGGTTGCACGACACCAGGAGACCGTAAGATGACGAGCATGCCAGCCTCGATAAGTGCACCGGCAGTCTACGAGAAACCGTCGCAGCCAGTGAGCATGGTACCACGCAATTTGGGAGCAACCCTGCAGCATCTGAGGACTCACGGGAGCGACGAGTCTTGGCGATCGCCTAGTTTTCTTTTCTTCGCCGAAACTGCTTTCCTTCACGGGTGTGTGGGCGAGGCCGGAGATCAGGTTTTCCCTCTTTACCTTGGACGACCGCCCCGAGGTCGTTGTGCGCACCGTACACTGGTGAAGGCGTCAGGAAGTCCACTTGGGCACACTTTACCCAGGCCTACAGTGTTAGATTGGGTACTAAGCGACATGGGGAAAGAAATAACCCCTAGGTGTTCTAAATCAACCTCCGATTGTAGTGTCTCAGCTCTGCCGTTACATGGAGGCATTATAAACAATATACGCATCATTCTGTTTTTCATCCTGGCCCGAACAACGGGGTTCTCTGATGAGAACTTTATGACCACTGTGCTACCTCGTTGGTGATGCTTGGCTAAAGTTCGTCTTACGATGAACACGCTTGGTCAGGTTTTTAAGTATTTCACACCCGTGTGTCCTGTCATTGTCTACTACGAAATGGGAGTGTGATTATGTGGACGTGACGACATTCTCGTTTCTTTTTCCATTATCCCACAGCTCTATGAAAGTATATCAATACTGCAATCGATTGAAAAAGGCAACATAGTGGCGTCTTAGTTGCCCTAGTCCATAAAATGGTCTGCTCCCGGTCTACGCAGGTGATTAGCATAGTGCTAGGAGCATCTTGTATTTGTTGGTATTCAATCATCACGGGCAGCGGAACGTCAAGAGGTGAAATTTTCTTGTTCAAAGCTGTAACGATGACAGCAAAAGACCTCTCGGGTATGCCTTTTTTCCCTCCTACTTTTCGGGGATGAGGATAGTGTAAGCTCTGACGAAGTCTAGAATTCATTTACGAACGATTACACAACACAGCCTCCGATGTCACTGACTGCGGAAACGCTAGCGGCATCGGAAGCAGCAGCATCGATGCTCGAACAGCTAGCGGGATAAATATGACAAATCTGGCTTGTCCAGCATTTGACGACCGGCCAAGCAGGTTCCCCTCTAACTTTTGGTATGTGAAGAATCCTAAGACAAGTAGCAGTACCCTCGCAGGCGTATTTCGTAGCGTAGCCGCGCATCACGCTGTCATCATGCTCAATCCGGCTAAAACACATATGAGCGTCAAAGAAGTGGAAGATACCAAGCAGAAGGTTATAAGTGCAGTACAAAGTCGCCACAGTGAGCCACCTCGACTGGGCCTGTCCAATCATGTACGATTTAACTCAGGAATTCGTGATACCCTAGAGTTGAACGGGCCTCTCTTGTTATTTACCTCAGTGAGGGAGCCAATTGATCGATTTTATTCCTTCTTCATTGAGCAATGCCAAAATTCGAAATTCGGAAAAAATGTAGACTGCTTTGGTGAAGCAGTGGATGAGAAACTCCAAATGGCTACCACAATGGAGCCGAATTCTCAGCTAGCTGTCATTCGAGGGAACGCAACAGACATCAAGAGTGCAGTAGCTCAGTACGACTTCATTTTCGTCCGAGAACGCTTCGACGAGTCTTTGGTAGTGTTCATGATATTATATGGACTGGATTTCGCCGACATCGTCCATTTATCGTCAAAAGTGCGCACGGGAAAGTATCCCGGCGCCGCCAAGATGCCACCGGCGCTCAACGACCTGATACGGACCAATAGCCAGGAAGATGTAAAACTATGGGTCACAGCAAATGCCCTTTTGGATGAGAAAATTGCGGGCATAAATGAAAAATGTGGAGGTGAAGCTTACATGGCGTCTACGTTAGCCGCATTTAATCGTCTGCAAGATACTGTGGCAAATGTGTGTCGCGAGCACAAAAAGTGGTACTCGGACCACGGATTTTCGACAGTCTTCACATACTGGGGTGACAATGGACAGGCACCAAGGTGCTGTGATTTTGTTGTCCGGCGGGAAATCCATAGATGGCAAAACGAAGGCCGAAACCATGCAATTCAAGTCGGAGGAACGGCGGGGGCATCATCGAATTCATCAGGAGGAGATGTATCGAGCGCTTACAAAGCAGACGCTTTTGCGATGCCGAAAAAGACACTATTGCGGAGTGAGCAGCACTGATGGATGATCTATATGAAGCTTATGGACAGAACCATTTTCTTTTGTAATGTCTGATGATTTACATGGCATGAACAAAAATACGTCTTTATGAGCTCGGACAATCGAATACATCACGAGCTGTTGCGCAGTCAAAATTTAACATTATTTCTATGTACACTCCAACTTGTTCTCAACCTGTGTCATTCAAATATTCATCAACTTTTGTTTCTTCGTGTTTGTGACCAATGATATACTTGTACACATGACCCTCCTTGTGCTCACTTTTTGTCATTGATATATTTATCAACGTTTCTTCGTGTTTGTGACCATACTTACTTGTGCTGGTTCCATGTTTCTCGTAATTACATGTAAAATATTTCGAGTGCCTGGTCGCCGAAATACTTTGGCCATGAGGCATATGACTGGAAACAAAACCGTGATGGTTGCTGGAAAGTCATAGTGAATTCTTGATTCGCATTTTTACTGGCTTGCTTTTATTAAGCCATCTGTCGCCCATATGAGGGCCACGTCGACGACATCGGCGTTTTCTAGCGCCTACCACCAAAGAAAAATAATAGCATAAAAGCAGGAGTACAAAGCTACCATGTACCACACGTTTCTGTGCGAGCCAGTCTTCCTTCTCGATGGGTTAGACTTCGCGGAGCGTGTACGCAACGAAGCCAGCTGGAGACTTGTAAACTCAATGTAATATTTCGTCCCAATATCTGCAGGAGCGTTTTCGATATCTTCAAGGTCATGATATTACTTAAATGCATTCAAGGTCGCGGCTGTATGGTTCAACTATATAGAAAAAGGTGATGTATCATTTTGATTGTCCGTTTGAACTCATGATTTTTCTGGAATGCAACCAAGGACGCGGCCATGCGAATATATCACTTGGAACACAGGAATTATTCATCTTGATTGTGTGTTTGTGCTCATGAAATCCATGGAATGCAATTAAAGCGATTCGTGCAGTTTCAATACGGATCCAAGTTTGTCGATCTGCTGAGGGAATACAACGACATTCCTTTCCTTTCGTCGTCTTCCAAGTTCCTTGTTTCTTGGTGGTCGACGCCTACCTTATCACGTGTCGGGTAGGTGATGGTGACTCAAATTGGATGCGTAGATAAAGCAATCAGCGCAACGTTATAATTTCTTTTCTTTCATGTTATTTTTCAAGACTGCGTGGAGCCACAGTTTATGGGAACCGCCGGATACGTTCCCATCTTATGGGAAAGGTCCTTGTCAGCCAATAGATGCGTCGCCGGGACGTGTAGCCATCCGCCACAAACGACAAGACAAAAGCTGTACTATGCTCCCACTTCCAGTCAATTACAGCCCAGGTACACCCCTCCTCCGCTACCGAGATGTGCCAAGCCAGGACGTCACGTGGCAACTGCCTACCTCGGCCGTCCCGGTCCTAGGGACATGCCTGTAGCGGCGCAGCAACAACTTAGTGTGCGGTTCATGTTGGCCAGGTCCCCGCATGCTGTCCTTGGATTTATCTAGAGCCTTGAAAAAGGCCCAAATCTCCCCCAAATGAAGGTGGCCATGTAGACGATAAATTCCTGTCACGGCTGTCATTTTTCCCCGTAAGTGAACGTGCAATGCAAAATGCTTTCTGTACCCGAGTTTCCCCTTCACTTGCCAAACTTGAGCTCAGGGTAGCTCTCAAGAGCGTGTTTTTTGGAATTGCTGGCGGCATGATCTAACACAATTGTCGTCGGTTTTACGCCACACTCTGACAGATTTATCGGGGTGCATCGCGTTGGTGTGACGCTCTAACCTACCATAGGGATCACCTAAATGCGAAGTGATATAGAAGCATGGTATATGAAACCTGCGTGCGTCCTCGTAGCCACATCGAAGTCGCTTTCGCCCGGAGTCTTTCATGCGAGTTGAACCCACCACTGAGTCTTGCTCGCTCTGTGAAGAAAAAGTTCTCCGCATCAGAAGCAGTTCAAGTAATTAGACAAAGAGAAATTCTTAGTTTCGTGGTGCGCGGAAGCACTATCCAATTGGCCCGGAATCCCGCATGCCTCGTTCGGCGTGACTCACGGGGCCGTTACCTTTCAAAGTAACGGTTGCCCGAACCTCCCCTAACCGCCTTCCAACCTCCTCGTCCCTGTAGCAACCACTCAGCACCTACATTTTTATGTGCCTTGCCAACTTCAGAACTTCTACCGGCCCCAATAGGTATCAATCAGTATCTACTAGTAGTATTCGTGCGCTTTGCCAATGTATGCCGAAGTGCCGCAACCATTCCCTGTACGACACGCTACGACCGACTTTGGAAGGCTCTTCCAGGATTCCTTGCATAATACCCATCGCAAAGAGCCTGCTCTTAGTACGAGGGACGGAGGAAGGAGACAGGTTAGAAGGACGACGCTGACCAATCACACGTAGTTTCGTACTCCTCCTGACAGCGAGTCGCAGGTGGTGGCGCCTGCGTGAGGGCGGGCCTGTGCCTCAGCTCTCTGAAGGCTAGCATGGCTTTCAAGGACGTCGATCAAGAATAATCTAGAGGCATTCACCCTCCTATACATAGAGCAGACAGTTATGCTCGTCACGCTCGCTCGTTCGATCTTTCGCACTCTCTGCTCCTCTCCCTTTTTCTTCTCTCTCCTGTTTCTCTCTTCTGTACTTTCCTCACAAACACATACACAAATACGTATACATACAGGAAAGCGGATGGAAAATAAAGAAGGAAGAAGGAAGACTCAGATGTACTGGAATAGATTTGTTGAAATTTTTAGAGGTGTGAGATCAGACCGGATAAAAAATGAGGCCGAAGAAAGAGCGTGCATGCTTTTTGGAGAGGCGGTGGAGGAGGACCTATTCGAAAGTAGGTACCTAGACTCTGATGACATGGACTTTAGGTCCGATGTTTCCGAGGACGAAATGGGAGCCATTTCACGCTTGTCATAGGACTCGTGGGAAAGCACGCCAAAGCAAATGAAAAGGAAGAGGGAGGCGGACGCGAAGGACGTGGACGCGGAGGATGAGGACGAGGCTGAGGAGGAGGAGGAGGATTAAAAGATGAAGGAGGAGATGGAGGAGATGGAGGAGGAAAACGAGGAGGAAACAGAGGAGGACGAGGAGGAGGACGAAACGAAGGAAGGAAAGGTGGGGGACAAAACGAAGGAAGACGTGGAAGAGAAGAGGAAACGGAGGAAGAGTAGCGAAATGAAGAGAGAGCCACCGCGTGCAAAAAGAATCTTGGGAAGAGCATGAGGGAAAAAATAGAAAGGAGAGGAGAAAAGAGCAAGGCTAGGTGAAGGGAGTAGGAGAGCGCCGACGTCATGATGGTAACAATAGTAGCACAAGAAGAAGAGAAGGAGGACTAAGGGAGAAGGAGGAGTCTGACATGGCTGTAAGGGACAGGGAGAGAAAAATGATGAGAATAGGGAGGGATGAGAGGTGAAGGACATGGAGGACATAGTATATGTGTCTCTGGGTGTCTCTATACATGTATATCCCTGCAGCTAAGGGGGGGGGGAGGAGAGCCCATCCTGTCGCCCCCCATGTTTCATAACCCTGCCACTACACATGCAAGTACGTCGATTGCGGCAGCAACAACAAAATGATATAATTAGCGCAATAAAATACACACAGAGCGATAAATCGACGAACAAAAAATAGAAATCGTGAACGATGGATCGATATATCGATCGGAAAATGCGACGAAACGATTGCTCCAGGACTCAACATTTGCTTGGCTATGACCGATAATGTGACCGATTTATGCGATATGCTTCACTATTCACGCTTAGATGTGATCGGTGCTTTTGATAGCCCCGAAGTATGATCTGTTGAAATGTTGTTGAGCTCAATTTCCTTAGCCATGATTGCTTTATTTATGCTCTCAGCCCTTCGCGTTCTTGAGCTCAATTTCCTCAACCATGATCGTCCGGTCATGATATCTGTCCTTGCGTTGTTGAGCTCATTTTCCAAGACTGCTACATTGATTTTGAAAGCGCTGAAGTGGTAGTAACGGAAATTTTGTTGCGATTCATGTACGGTCAATTTGAGCAATCGACAACTTGTTGACCACCTCAACCCGAACGCTCAATCAGCCGTTGGGACGGCCTCTGTACGTGCTCTCCTTTTCCCTTTCGCACCTTTGCAAGGTATCAACAGGCATCGATCTACACACAATGGACGATGAGGACATCCTCCTCGACAGTCGTGCTGTAGGGGGCAAGCGTGGAGCAGATTTGGGGGCTCCTCTTTTGCTGCCGAGCTCATCAGCAAGTGGAGGAGACCAAGGGGGTTTTGGTGCAGCGTACGTCCCTGCCACGGTGCGGCGGCGACGGCTATGGTTCGACAACGTGTTTGGGGTGATCTTTGGTATATTTGCCTTCGTCATGACTCTTTTGGCCTTGACGATAGGCGTCAAGGCGGTGATCAACAGGCGGACGCCGGCTGTGGTTGTATTGGATGAAGGTACCTCAAGCGTGGACGACCCCGCCCATCCCGGCACTCGGCACGCCACCTACGAGGGCTTCAAGCTCTTCTCGGGCCTCGCACTGATTTGTACTCTGGGCGTGGTGCTTTCTGCGTTATGGTTGCAGGTGATGGTGACTTGCTCCTCTGCCCTCTTGACCTATACCCTCATGGCTGTGGCCCTCCTTGGTCTTTTGGCTGGCACAGCGTTCTTCGCAGGCGCCAACCCTTGGGCGGGCGTTGTCACCCTTCTTGTGACAGTGATCGCTCTGGTCTATTTCCAGCAGCTCCGGAGGCGCATGGCCTTTGCAACAGCCAATTTGAAAATCGCGTGCAGGGCCCTATGGGATAGCCCCCCCTTGTTGGGCGTCGGAGTGGGTCTCCTGCTTCTGCAAGTGTGCTGGGGGATACTCTGGGCACTGGCTTTGATGGGTGCGGCGACAAATGCGGACCTGGCGACCCTGCGGGACCCGGTTTCGGGCCAGGTGTACCCCATGAGTCAATGCACGACCTATGAGACCCTGGGTCCCAACGGGAATTTTACGGCCGCCTGTCTCCACACGGGTCAGACCTGTCTGAAATGCGTGTGTGGGAGCGGGATTAGCGCCGTGACCGTCTGGGAGGATCGTTCGTGTTTTGCCTACAAGCTGTACGCGGGCTGGCTCGTGGTTCTGCTGGCTGGCTTCTTGTGGGGAGGCGCGGTGGTCCGCAACGTGGGGCATTGCACCGTGTCCGGGACGGTGGGGACCTGGTGGGTGTCGGGGAGGGAGCGGGGAGCTGCGTCGGTGGGGAGTCATTTCCGACGGTCCTTGTCCACCTCGTTTGGATCCATTTGTCTGGGTTCCCTGCTTGTGGCGCTCGTGCAGACGGCCCGGCATGTTCTCTTGAACGCCCACCGGGCCAACCAACGGACGGTGCAGAGCAACACCATCACGGCCATGCTGGGCTGTCTCCTCGTGCTGGTCGACCGGGCGCTGGCCTGGTTCAACCGATACGCCCTCGTGTACGTGGCTCTGTACGGGTTGGATTTCATGTCGGCGGGCAAGGCGACGACGGAGCTCTTTCGTGCCCGCGGGGTCACCGCCCTGGTCAACGACACCATGATCGAAGGCGTCCTATCCCTGGGCGTGGTGATCGTGGGCTTGCTCTGTGCGTTGACGGGGTACTTGTACGGGAGGGATTGGGGCATAAGCCAGGCGAACGTGGCGATTCTGGGAGTGTCCGGCGCTTTTATCGGCGTGGGACTTGCAGGGGTGGTGTCAGGTTTAGTGGAAAGCGCCGTTTGCACCACCTTTGTCCTTTTCGCGGAAGACCCGCAGTCCTTGGAGATCAGCCATGGAGGGGAGGCGTGCGAGGAGCTGGTGCAGGCCTGGGAGGATGTGTTGCAGGGGCCCTTGTCGGGGATGGGAGGGATGGTGGGAGGGGCCGAAGGAGGGCGTGGACAGGGAGGCTTCAAGCCACCGGTGCCGTCTCCTTCGCCACTTGAGGGCGATCGACCCTCGCCCTCCTCGCAGGCCCCCTCCTCGTCCGCTGTGGGCCCGGGCATGGTCCCGCCTTACCCCTCTTCGGCCTCGGTGAATCCTGCGGGAAAAGGGAAACGAGCGAGTCCGCCCCCGGCGCCCGCGACAGCCGTAGAGAGGGCTGTGGCGAATTTTGGAGGTGGGTCCTCTTTGTTGTTCGGGAGGGGTGGAGGGAGTGTGAGTCGGACGCCGACCCTGGATGTGGGGGAGGAGGAGCAAGAGGAAGAAGGGGGAGGGCGGGGGGGAGGGCGGGAGGGAAGGAGGGCGGGAGGGCGAGGGAGAAGGAGGGATGGAGGCAGGGATGCATGGGGAGGAGGACGTGGAGGAGGTGTGATTAAAGGAGGAAATGTGAAGTTGTGAAGAGTATGTACTGCAAGCAAAAGACGGGTGGGAGGTAAAGCAGGAGAGTGCGTGTAAATAGGAGTCACATAAAGATTGAACAAAGTCGGAGAGGAAACACAGGAAATTGAAGCCGCATATATTCAGAATCTCCACAAGCTGGGCGTCGCTTATCGTACATTGAGGCTGTATAACTTGCAACCCCGCTACGGGCACTTGACGGGTCTTTTCTCTTCTTTTTCGCCCCCAACGTGCCGTAGGCGCGGTAGAGCACCATGCTCTCATTCCACCCCGCGGGCCACGCCAGGCCTCTACCTCCGACCTAGCTCTCTCCAGCCCCCCCCCCCCCTTCATTGCCTCGCCTCACTCCTTCCAATGCCCCCCTTCCTCCCCCAACGCCCTCCCCCGCCCCCTCCTTGAACCCTCTCTCCCGTGTAGGTAGGCGCCGGCACCACGCTCACGGGACTGGGCGCCTTTCCGGTCACGCTGCTCTGCCCTGCTGCCTGCAGAGCCAATGCCGCCTGGGCGAAGAGGGCGTTCACGTCCCCAGGCCGGTCCGAGAAAAGCATGGTGTGGGACTGGGAACCCATCAGACCGTACATGCTGATATACTCCTTGGCCACCTGCAGCTTGGCGGCGTCCTGACCTTGCGCCTCGCCCAGGCTCTCCGCCACCACCCGGATGGACTCGGCGAAGGCCTCCGCCTTCACACGGATCGCCTTGGCTTCTCCCTCCCCTTCCAGGATGTACTGCTGCTTGCGGGCCTCAGCCTCGTTGGTGGTCTTGATCAGGTCGCCCTCGGATTCGTTCCTGAGTTTGATCTTCACCCCCTCCGACTGCAACTCTTGTGCCCGCTTCTCCCCCTCCGCCTTGATGACCAACTCCCGCCGGTGCCGCTCCGCCGCCGCCTGCTTGTCCATGGCATGCGTGATCGTCTTGTCCGGGCGGATCTCCGTGATCTCGTACCGCTTCACCTCCATACCCCAGGCCGTACACGCGTCTTGAATGCTCTTTCGGATCATTTCGTTCAACCGACTCCGGGCGTGCAAAATCTCGTCCAGCTCCAGCTCACCGAGGGCCGCCCGCATCGCCGACTGCGCGCATTGACGCACGGCGTACAAGGGATTGTAAGAGCCGTAGGCGGCCTGGGCTGGGTCCACAAATTGCACGTAGAGGATGCCACTCACGTCCACCGAGACGTTGTCCTTGGTGATGGCCGGTTGCGGGGCGATGGCCATGGCTCGCTCGCGCATGTCGATGCGGTAGGCGATGCGGTCCACGTAGGGGATGGCTGGCGCGGGGGACAGGGTAATAAGAGTAGGAAGATGGGGGCGTA